GTATTCACTATCAAGTATCTTGCAGATGGCTCAGTTGACCATTACAAGACCCGCTTGGTGGCCAAAGGTTTCACACAGATTCCTGACAAGGATTTTGCCGCCACCTATGCCCTTTTTGCCAAGCTTACTTTTGTGTGTCTCCTCATCTCTTTTGCAGCATCATATTCTTGGCTTCTTCAACAACCTGATGTCAAGAAAGCGTTCCTTCATAGAGATCTACTTTAGACGATTTATATGGATCCTCCACCCGATTTTTGGGCTAAGGGGAAGTATTCGGGAAAAGTGTGTCGATTACCCAAATCACTATATGGTCTAAACCAATCTCCACGAGCATGGTTTGATCACTTAAATTATGTTATCATCTCCATGGGGTTTTGTTCAGTGCCATTCAGATCATATTTGCTTCATCAAGCGTAATTCTGTGGGACAGTGTATCATCTTGTTGGTTTATGTAGATGACATTATTCTCACAAGTGATGACTCTACTGGCATTTGTCAAGTAAATGAGAACTTGGGTTAGACTTTGATATCAAGGACCTAGGAAGTCTCAAGTATTTTTTGGGGATTGAGGTTGTACGCTGGAAACAGGGAATTTCTTTGTCTCAAAGAAAGTATACTCTTGACTTGCTTAAGGATATTGGTATGTTAGGGTGTAAACCTGTTTCTACTCCTATGGATCCTAACGTCAAGCTCACGTCAAACTCTGGTGAGTTGTTGGATGACCCTAAGTATCTCATTTTTTTGACCAACACTAGATTTGACTTGACATTCGTGGTTAGTGTTGTGAGTCAATTTATGCATACACCTCGTACAGAGCATCTTGATGTAGTTCGTCATATTTTGAGGTATTTGAAGACTTCTCCTGGCTTGGGATTGTTTTTCACAGTTGGCCTTCAATTTGGACTCTCTTGTTTTGCCGACGCCGCTTATGTGAGATCTAGAACTGATCAACGTTCCACATTTGGCTTCTGTACTTTCTATGGTGATCATCTTATATCATGGAAAAGTAAGAAGCAAACAGTTGTGTCTAGGTTGTCTGCAGAGGTTGAATATCGAGCTATGGCACAAGGAACATGTGAGCTTCTTTGGTTTTGCTCTATTTTGACAGAGTTAGGTTTTACTAAGATTGCTCCTTCCTCTTTATTTTGTGATAACAAGTCTGTTATTATGTTATCTTTTGATTCTGTGCTTCACAAGCATACCAAGCATATTGAAGTTGACATACATTTCATTAGAGAAAAGGTTTGGATTGGTATTGTGAGTCCATCATTTGTCTCTTCTTCACAGCAGTTAGCAAACATGATTACTAGGTCTGTGGGACCATCTTTGCTTTAGTCATCCATTGCCAAGCTGCATTTATCAAATATCTTCACGCTATCTTGAGGGGGAGTGTTCAAATATAATACACATAATATTCTAGAATAGGATCTTTTATGTTCTGACCATTGTTTAGGCCTTGATTTTATTTCATTTTCTATGTTATTTCCTATCTTGTACAGTTTCCTAATATTGTACATATTGATCTATATATTCATGGGCTAATCTCAATTGAGATTAAGCCAATTCATTCTTTTATTCTTTTGGGAAGAGTTCTATTTGAATATTATCTTGAATGAAGCTAATCTGAATCAAACCTTAATGGAGGATCATAAAAGGGGGATATGTGGCGACCTCCACCATTGGGAACTACAAGTTGACCTGTGATGCGACTACTCAAAAGGACACATATCAGGCCTCGATTGTTGTTATCCTTTGGGATTCAAAGGGTAAGCCCTTGGATGGTATGGTGAAAAAAAAAATTTGTTCTTCTCTTCAAGGAGAAGCTCTAGCTTGCCGTTTAGCTTGCCAATTAGCCCAAGCCTGCAATTTGCCTCATGTAGAGATCTAAGGAGACAACAAGACTATCATCCAACTTAGCGCCTCATAAACTAATCTTCCTTGGGACTATGGAGCTATCTTTTTTTATGTTAAACATTTGGCAAATCAAGGGAAATTTTCGTTCTCTTGGAGTCCTAGAGCAGCAAACAAGGTTGCCCATTGGGTGGCTTATGCTCATGCTCATCTCAAAGATTAGCTTCCACTTGACTGGGTGTCTCAACCCTCAGTTATTATTGCGGTTTTGTTGATATTTTTTTTTTTTAATTTTTTTTTAGCCCTTTGGCTTTTTGTTCCTATTTCTTATGTTAAAAAAATTTAAAAATTATAGACTACCAAGAATAAGTAGCCAACCAACTAGGCCAAACACCAAGTTGTGACTTAATTTCTGGGCCAGAGGGAGCCATAGATTGATGCAAATAAACACACATAAGATAGAAACACAGAGTTTACGTGGTTCGGTAATTGCCTACGTCCATGGGCAGCAAAAATTCTATATATTTTGGAGAGATACAAATTCACTCTTATTTCCTCACAACTCTCTTCTTCTTCAATTCAATGTTTGCATATCAAATACAATAGCTTACCTCTCTATTTATAGAGTTTCTTTAGGGTGAGATGCGTTGGTGTTGACGGAAATTTCACCACATTTCAGACACATTCTAGAAGCTTCAAGGTGCCTTCATTGTTGAACTTCAGGAGGTTGAACTCAAGATGAACTCTTTCTTTTGGAGTCTTCTGGTTTGGACTTCACAAGAGAATCCAAGCTTCTCTTTTCTTCTCTTTCTTCATGGTGAAGTAAAGGGAAGAGAAGTTTGAGTAAACTTCCCCACATTAATCCTCCCTTTAATTATTAAGCATTTTCCATGTAAATTCAAATTTCTTTATTTTTCACAATTTCTTTACCAAACTTTTGGAATACCTACAAAATATAAAAATAAACAAAACAAGACTAAATAAAATATAAATAAGTCTAACAAAATATATAAATTAAAGGAATAAAAATACACTATAACGATCGCATCAAGGGGTATGCAATTTGGGAAAGTAGTCAAAAAGTTTTTAAATTTTTTCATAGTTTTTTAATATCCAACACTTAAAATTTTGTCAATTTTCCTGACCTTGCACCTTCCATCATAACCCATTAAAATAGATGAAAACAAAGTTACACCATTCTAAGACAACTTTCTGAATATCAAACTGAAATAAATAGATATAAGTTTATTCGTAGATGAGGAAAGATGAGAAGAGCAAAAGTTTGGAAAGAGACTTTAGGTTAGGTTTAGTAATGATTTCAAAAGGGAAGTGATTGCAGCATGGAAATGAAATGGTGGAAGTTCATGGAGGTTTTTTTTTTTAATATTCGAAAAAAAAATTATTTAGAGAATTGACCCACTTTTCAAACTATCTGGGAAACTAATTTACTTTTAAAATCGCATTTTGAAAATACAATTTTGAAATTGAAATTGCATTTTCAACATGCAATTTTACTAACATGCGATTTCAATTGAAATCGCATGTTGAACATGCAATTTCACCATGTCATCAGAAATTACATTTTCAACTTGCAATCCTGCGATTTCAAAATGAAATTGCATGTAAAAAATGCAATTTCAATTTCAAATTCAAAATTGCATTTTTGAAAAAACGATTTCAAAAAGCAAGTTAGTTTCCCAAATAATTGAAAAGTTAGTCAATTCTTTAAATAGTTTTTTTTTAGAATATTAAAAAAAAAAAAAAACCCGAAGCATATGGCTTATTATTAAAGTGGTTGTGTGAGTGCGATTTGTTTTGAGATAGTTTCTTATTTTAAATATTTAATACAATTTCTTCGTATAGTTAATAAAAACAGAAATAAGTTAAATGAGTTGGAAAAAAAAAAAAAAATGATTACTGCAAAGCATAGAGAGATGTGTTCTTAGGTTTTGTTTTCGATTATTAGATTTCAGCTTGCTACAAACTATATCAAATTGGGTGAGTTCATCTCGAAAAGGATTTTGATTTGATCTTGGTGACTTCTTGTTAGTGCCATCTAGAGAGTTTTACAAAATACAAAAAGTTTAATAGAATTGCTGTGCTCATCATTGATTCATGACTCATCAATGCCAATATGAAGTAATATATAAACTGTGCTAGCAACACAAAAAAATAAAAAATAAAAAATCACAAAACACAAAACACAAGACATAAATATGAGATAAAAGGTGAGTGTCTTGTATCTGCGTTTTATTATGTGAAATTTCTTCATGTACGAATTTTTTTTTATAATATAGTTCATTCATATGACTAACGAAATATTAATAAAAATAGTGTAAAGTGTCATGTTAGTTAGAACTTTAAAGAGTCAAAAATAATTATATCAAAATTATTAAACTTGTAACATTTTTTCCAAATCTCATACGAATTTAACGTAATTATATCAAAACTATAAAACTTGTAAAAAAATTTTGGTTTATTATGATTTGTGCTTTGTCACTCGTGATCAAAAAGTCATCTTCTTTGTGCTATCAATGCTTGCTGTCCAACAAAAGCAATGTGGTTTAAATTCAAACTTTTGGGAAAGCCAAAAAGCTAAAAATAAATATAAATAAATAAAAAAGGAAAAATTACACTTCAATGTATATTTAAAAATATATTTTGAAATTAATGATAAGTTTTATAAATATTAAAATGTAAAGTTAATTTTTTTTATGAATTTATAATTAATTTTTTAAAATACATTGACAAGTAAATTTAAAAAAAAAAAAAAATTTAAAATGTCAAAATATCATATTCTACACATCAATCAATCATTTTTTCATTTACAATCATCTATTCAACTAAAACAAATTATCCCAAACACAAACTTTTTTTCATTTCATAAAATAATTAAAAGCCACTAAAAAAACCAAATTTCCAAACGGGCACTTATTGTCATCCTATTTACTTCAACACTATATTTTCCCAACACCATTCAATCAAACAGATAACTATTTTTTTTCTTCAAATATATCAAAAACCATGATTAAAATAGCTGAGAAACTGCAGAATTAAATATTGACTGCCGACCCATCTATGCTATGAAAATATTTAAAATAAATAACAATAATAATAATTAAAAAAAATCGAATTTATGCCGGGGATCATATCAATAACATTACACATCATATAATCACTCCATATATGCATCTAGCAGCCAACAATGTCTTTACATACGAATATATTCTTCTGTAAATTAGGCATTACAACAGACAATTGGAGTATAATTATACAGATCCATCCTATTAACATGATTACTATATCTAAGGAACAGAAAATGAAAGGAAAAAAAAAAAAAAAAAAAAAAAAAAGTTATCAAAAACCCACAGACAATTTATGATGAATCTCTACTCACAGAATGATTACCGTAAATGTATGAAGCGAATCCCCAAACAGTAATGATCAGAGACATGATTTTGAAACCACTCATCGGGTCATGTAACAATATAACCGCAGCAATGCTTGTGATTGGCACTCTTACTGCATTGAGGACACCTGCTAGCACGGTGGAAGACAAAAAGAGTACAGCAGTGCTACCTAAAACCCCCAACTGAAAAGTAATAGCACCCCAGATAAGAACCATCAAATATGAAACTTCACCGCCCACGAAACTTCTAGCCTCGGAAGTCATTGATTGGAAATCGTTATTGACAACAAGCCCAATCGTGGTGAATACAAAGGCAAAGAAAGAAACCATCACTTGTTGCTCCAACACGACGTGGAAGGATCGTCTACCTAGTAATTTCACAAAAACAAGCTCTGAAAGAGCGAAAATGAGCCCGTGGAGAGCAGATCCCAAAATATCCGATACAAAACCCACGATGTATTGGCTGTTACTGATGTTTCCATATCTGTCCGAATCAGAGTCCAAACCAATGATGGCCATAGCAGCGGTGATGATCACAATAGCATTTATTGTCGAAGCATTAATTTTGTTGTTCACAATTAGGTATCCAAATAGGCAAGAAAACACTAGGGATGATGATGCCAAAAGCGAAGCAGTTGATGCTGGGAGGTAAGCATATGCGTATGCATACAAGAGGTTATCGGCAGCGCTTAAAAAACCCAATACAATATAAGAAAGAGTGAGTTTTAGGGTAAGAGAAGTCGGAGACGTTTTACAAAAGTAGTACGTAGGAACTAAGATTAAAGCAGTCAGAGGCCACCCCGCAACAGCCACCCATGAAATGATCCATTTGCTTTTGCCCCCATTGGAGTAATAGACACGGGATAGGAGGCTAGAAGCGGGGAATGCCACAAGCATTCCTCCACTGCTTAGGAGTAGCAAAACCCAATATGAGATCGGTTTGGTTTTATATGTTTCCCAAGCCATGGTCTTATATTTGGAAATCTTTTCCAGCAATGAAACTGATGGCCTCGATAATGCCTCCTCCTCCATGCCTTCCCCACCTACCATGGATCAACGATCATAACAAATGCCAATCGAAACCCAATAGTATCAGGATCAAATAGAAGAAAAGGTCAAAGGTGCAAGCATAAACACAAAACGATGCATATAATATGGATAATGTCTTTGAAATTCAACTGCTCTCATTTGTTTAGAGAAGTTAACTGCAATTGGCACTTTGGTGTTTTGTCGAGTGCAATAAAATGAGGATCAGATAGCAAATATTTTTTTATGTTGTCTATCTTTGGCTTGAGAGAAGTTTGACACATCCCATAAGATTGGCTCTTCTAGAGCTGTGAGACAATCGAAGGGTACATAATTGACTAAGGGTAGATAATTGACTAGGTTGGGATGTCCGGTGATGTTCTTTTTCAAAACCGCAAATTGGGAATTAGCAACGGGTACCCAAACTTACCTATGGCATCGGACACACAATGCTTGGAGAAGGGTGTGAAATATGTATCCTATACCTTTCATTGGACACTTCTTATATATTTGTATGTTATATATAAATATAACAGTATTTTATCCCACATAGTAGACTACAAATATAACTATATGTCCCTTTTTTGCAAAGTCCATGTGCCCTGAAATTTTAGGTTCAATGGGTCCAACTTCTGGATATGCATCCGCAACCAACACCTGACACCTGCACAGAGCCCATGTAACATAGATGGCAGAGAACATATTTGTAAGGACGTGGATAATGACTTCTTATAATGCTTCTATCTTCTCGTCAACATTTCTTTTATTCAAATATAAAACTGGGAAAGAACTCACCAAAGCACATTCGATATTCTTGTTATCCATCCCACAATTTTCTATCAAAATATTAAGCTGAACATAGGAAGCTGGCAATAATGGGACCACAATAGTTGGATATGTGAAATAAACTGTGTGATTTTACTAGGATGCAATTTTTATCAAAGAAGTGAAATAACAAGAAGAGATCCAGAATTGGTTCACACTTCATCACACAAACACAAAAAGCAATTCACACAGAGATCTAGAATTCTCAATAAAAATATGTACTCTAACCAAACCAAACCAAGTCTCCAGTCTCAATCAGGTGAGGTCACAACATAAATCTTTTTTCATCATTTCTGTAATAACCCTCACGCTATCCTAACCATACTCATATCCATTTGTGTGAGTCTATCTTGTAAGCTTGGGTTTCTAGTCTTGTCCTTGTACGTTTAAGTGTTACGGCATGTTTTGTACTTTGCTTGGTGAGAGTTTAGCCGAGGTCGCCTTCATGTCTAGAATTATCGTGGAACCACTTTGTTTGACCTCCACTTTTGCCCTGACATATTGGCCGAAATGTCATTATCTAGGCCGAGGTGTTCATCACCAAGGCCGAGGTGTAAATTATCTAGGCCGAGATGTTACCTTTGCACCTAAGTGATCTTGTCCCGGAAAGGTATGACCTAGACTGAGGTGTGGCACATCTAGGCCAAGGTGTGACACAGCTTAGTCAAGTGTTGTTCTTCCTAGCCGAGGTCATTATCCCCTACTTGCCGATGTCTTGTTATTAGCCGAGATCATTACTCGCCAGAGTGCCCATGCCGTCTTGCTTGTTGAACACACTTTGTCATAGTATTGTCTTGTCACTCAGCCACCTTTCTATGTAGCACCAACCAGCCGCTGCCACGTGCCTCTGTAGAGGGTTAAGTCAACCAGCAGACTTAGAAATGTATCATTTTGCTATATGTCTTTGTTTGTGAGGAGAGAGAAGCTCTAGAAGAAGAAGAAGAAGAAGTTTGGAGTGAGAGAGTGGGTTTTCGAGCTCGATTCCTAGAGATCAAACCATTAGATTCGCGTATTGAGGTTAGATTCTTAATTTACTTTTGTCATTCTTATTGATCATCTAGCTACATTGCATGATCGAACCCGTTTTGCATGTCATGCATCGATTTAAAGTTGGTTTTAGAAAGAGAAAATGGTGTTCACGTGTTCTTGAAAGAAAGGTCTTGTTTGATCTGAAAGTTTGCATTAAGTTTCATGTTTTTGTGTTTGTTTTCACTAGATCCCTGAATATGGGTACCCAGGTCCATGTTTTTGAACTCATAGCATGAAATCTCAGATTTTGTAATAGCAAATCACGATCTTTGCATTCATCTCCCTCATGTTCATGTTGTTCATGTTCATCATGTTCTTCAAGAAAGGGAAACCCAGATTTTTCCCGACTTCATTCCGTTGAGTGTGGCCATCGAGGCGACACCTCGGCAAGGAGGTGTGGGACCTTGGCTTAGACCTGGTAATTGCCCAGCATATTTCCCCGAGATAAAGAACTGTATTTGTTTTGATTCGACTTAGTCTTGAGGAATGTCGAGATCATCTGCATGCATGTGAACTTGTTTGAAAGTGCATTCAACAGACTTTGCCATGTGTTTGTAGGGTTTGGACTTGCCTTGACCCCGACGTTTGAAGAACTAAGTGAGTGGTATTTTTAATAAAGCTATGTTATAATGCTTTGATAAAAGTCTTAAGTTTGGAAGTTCGTACGTGCTAAGGGACTATAAGCGTTTGTAGCACAAAGTTTGGAAGTTCGTACGTGCTAAGGGACTATAAGCGTTTGTAGCACAAAGTTTGGAAGTTCGTACGTGCTAAGGGACTATAAGCGTTTGTAGCACAAAGTTTGGAAGTCCGTACGTGCTAAGGGACTATAAGCGTTTGTAGCACAAAGTTTGGAAGTCCGTACGTGCTAGGGGACTCTAAGCATTAGTAGCACAAGTCCTTAGTGTCCGGGGACTATAATGCAACGACACCGTTGAATTGAGATATCTCCCTTGTCTTGCCTTGTCTTGTCTTGTTTGCCACTGACGGTTTACCGCGTGGGTCTTGTTGCCAAGATGTCATCACTTGTATTATAGTGAGTTAGTAAGCATCCTTTGAAACTTGACAGATTTGCTAGATGGACTTGGTTCATCCTTTGACTTGCACTAATTATGTTATGTATTGTTTAATAAAGATCTTGAATACCAGTCATGCAAACCCCTTTATTTCTTATACCATTCACTGAGTATGCAAGCTCGCCCTCTCTATATATATATGTAGGTGATGAGCAGAAAGGCGGTGACGCCTAGGTGTGACTCGCAAGCTTGTTTTGGGTTTTTGTCATGTCGGCTTAACTTGTATACATGTCTGCAGTCTTGAAAACTATGCTTCTCGGCTTATAATGTCTGCAATTTACACATGTCGGCTGGAGAAGCCTTGTGATCAAGATGAAAAATGTATTTTGTATTTCATTGTATTTGTATTCAAGTTGTAAAACTATGTAAAGTTGTATGCCATTCCATGTAACTTACGCACTGCTCTTACGGACCACTTGTATTTTTAAATTAATGCTTCCGCACTTGTGAGCCCCATATATATATATACTCTGATTGTATGTGGATTTTGGAGGTTGGCCTTCGGTAATCCCGAATTACTGGCCATCACGGCACCAAACTAGTAGGGGCAGTTTGAGGTCGTGACAGATTGGTATGAGAGCATGCATTCCTTATAGTGCGTTATTCACACACTTTGAGTCCTAAAGAGCATAGGATGTCCCTTAGAATAATTTTAGGATTGCATCATATTGCTTGTTACTTGACAAGGTGTGCATCATCTCGGCATAACCATTTGTTATTTGCATACATGGTTCTTGGTTCAGTTTGTTTTAAGGTTGCATTTTGCCTACTCATAGCATCATGAGGAGAGGTAGACCATCAGTTGGCCGAGATCAATCAGAGGATAGATTGGACAGACTAGAAAGACTAGTTGAAGGGTTAACCCGTGAGTTAAGGCAGATGAGACAACAGAATGCAAGTGCTACATCTACCCCGGCCGAACAGACGGATGGCTGACATGCAGCTCTACCTCTTCCAGTGCCCCAAGTGCCTCCATAGCCAGCCTTGTATGGGGAGGGGACGATGACTTTGATTAAAGAGTTCAAGAAGATGAACCCACCAAGATTCGCAGGGGGCATAGAGCCGATGAAGGCCGAGGCGTGGGTTTTGGAAATGGAAAAGCTGTTCGAGATCTTTCCCAGCACCAACACTTAGAAGGTGACATTAGCAGCATTCACATTAGACGACGACGCTCGAAGGTGGCGGATGATGATCCGGGAGGCTAATCCTGGTTTAACTTGGGCTAGATTTTTAGAATTGTTCTACAACAAGCATTTTCCGCTTAGCGTTCGAGATCGCAAGACCACAGAGTTCCAGACTCTGACACAAGGCAGCAGAACAGTGGCAGAGTACGACCGTGCCTTCACAGAATTGGCAAGATACGCGTCTCAGATGGTCAGTGATGAGTATAGGAAAGCTAGGAAGTTTGAAAGTGGACTACGTGGACCAATCCAGGATCGGGTCAACATGCTCAATATGCCGACTTATGTCGAGGTGTTAGACAAGGCCATCTTGGCGGAAGCTAACTTAAACCGATATCAAAGTTCAGGAGAGAGTTAGAGGAAGAGACAGAACTATGAAGGTCGCCGGATGCCGTTTAATGCCAAGAAGAAGGCGAATGTGGGCAGTTCCAGCAACTCAGATCAGGATGGTAATGCTAAGCCGATGTGTGCGAGTTGTGGGAAGCCGCATCTAGGGGTTTGTCGTTGGGCGACAGGAGCCTGCTTTGAATGTGGGGAGATAGGCCACTGCGTGAAAGACTGTCCAAAGGCAAGAGCGATGATGGTAAGAAAAATGGGAGCACCTCGGGCTCTGCACAAGGAAGCAACGTCGGAAGGACACAGATGAGACAGGGCAGAGTTTTTGCTCTAGTGCCAGGAGACACCCAGAATGCTGAAACGGTAGTGTCAGGTACACTCTCAATTTGCTCTCAAGTTGCATACGTCTTGATTGATTCGGGCTCTACACATTCATTTGTATCTGTTAAATTTGCCGATAAGTTGAACAGACCGCTAGAACCCTTGATTATGTGCTATATGTATCTACTCTATCTGGGGGAACAAAAAGTGTTGCATCCATATATAGGGCGTGTGTTGTGGTGATTGAGGGTG